AGTGATTGTATTGAAACTAGAGATAAATTCAATAGACTCACCAGGGAAATCAGATGAGCCACTTCCGTCTCTCTCCTTCATGGTGAAAATCTTATGGATAAAAGACTGAAACGAAAGGGTAGCAAAATTCCAATGAATTAACCAAATCTGATATATATAAATAAAAAAAACTATTATCTTTGCCAAAAGATCTAGATTTTGAGAGGTAAATGATCCAATTTCTTCAACTACACAAAAGAAAAGAAGAAATTGGAAACAAAATGATATATAATCATAATGAAAGGAGAGCAAAATAAGAAAAGGAACCTTCTTTTTCACGTCTTGATTCCCTACAGTCATTTTTGAAACTGCTACTGTTTCATCAATTGGGTTCATAGACCTTCACAAACAGATACAGATGCCGCAATCAGATAGATCAAAACCCTTCAACCAGACAAGATTGCTCTCATTTGTTCTTAAAGATATAAAAACTGGAAATTTCATAAATTTGACAAGATATTAATAAAGTATTATGATTGAACGAACAAAATCCCATGAATAATCCAATTGCCTAAACATCCAAAAGGGCACCAAACACAGCCACCAAAATGGAATGTGGTTTCAAATGACAGAATCAAAAAATTACCAGAATTTGAAGAAGCTTTGACATTCATGGAGGAGGAGGAGATCTCTGAAGTCTTATCATAAATAGTACGGCAACAACGACCCATGAAACAAGTTGACAGCCAACATGGGTTTTCTCGAGAAAGTCAACTGGACAAAGCAATTCCTATTCCTTGATAAAATATTTGTGTTTGATTTTATTTAGTTTCCCAAGAAAAAAAGACATGGAAAATTGAACTTGATAAGGAGACCTGCATATTCCATACGTTTTTGTGTGTCTGTGTTTCTGCAACGGATGGCCTCAAGTCCTCTACAGTGCTGTTTCAAGAACTGCCCATGTTGATGTACAAACGAGGACAAGTGCAATAAATAACGTCGCTAGCAAAACTGACTTCTGTTGTCCATATTTTCTTGAAAAAATATAAAATATTTCTGTCGAATTCTTGAAACATACTTTTC